CTCAATGGCCGATTTATTTTCGCCCATTCGTGCTGGACACGATCTCTCGTTGTGCGCATGGCATGGCGTCACGACGTCGGAGTGGTTCCATGAATAGATCTATGACGTCACAGTCATCTGCGATCTGTTCACGTAGGCCCATATCAAATCGATTGGCCGATGCATATTCAAAACGGCGTTCAGGGCTACCGATTCAGGCGAGCGCTGACCTTGCCAGCCGTCCAGCGGCCGTCCCAGCGACGCCTGAATAGGACGGTCAGGGTATCTCCCGAAACGGAGGTGCCCCGACCTACTTGGCGTGACGGGCAGCACGCGCGGCGGCCTTGGAGCGTGTCGCGACCGCCTCCGCGTGCCATTTACACCCTCAGCATGGTGCGTCATCAGCGAGCTGCCGGTCCCTCCCAATGACGCATTAAAACCCAACGAAGCTGGCCCCCGCCGCCAGCCGGCGCCTCTGACTGTCGTTTGAAGACGGGTCACTGTGGGGCGCGTGCTTCTGGACTGCTGATCGGCGTCGCCGTGAGCGCGGGACATCGGGTGGTGGAGGGAAGGCGCCTGCTGATGATGGGACCGCATACCGTCGTCTCATGAACGCCGCAGAGAGTGTGGCAACGACCGGCAGTCTACGTCGGAGTGATGTGCCTCAGGCACTTGTACGCTCTGATTCATGCTCCATGAGGCTTTCCTCATCGCTAAAGAACAAAGGACGTCGTGTTAATGCAATTCCCAGGATCGATTTGTTGATTGGCCGGACTACAATGTTCAGAATAACATGTTGCACGCATTGTTTATGATTCCATTGGTATTTCCTAACAATAAAAAACAAACAAATAGACCAAAAAACAATGGAAACGAGGGCAGCGAATTCGCGCACAATTCGCCAGGGAGCCTCAGCATTTCGAAAAAAAGGGTGCCCGAAATGCCCTTTCCGGTGTGTGGAGCGGCATGACGGAAACGCAACAGCCTGTTTTAGGTTATCGTCCTTTCTGTGAGAGTCCAAGTCCTGTGACAGCGCCAGCCACACCGGCTTCCGGGATTCACAACTTGAACCTGTTCCTATATCGCGTACGATGTCCTAAGGAACCGTATCGCCGTATCTCTCTCTTGTCCTGTCACCGAGCAGGCTGGACTCAGGACCCGGCCGGCCGGCGCCCGACCGGTCCACATCAGGTCACGGGACCGCGGACCGTCTCCTGCAGCAGTCTGGAGCGAACCTCTCCGCTCTCCGCGGCGCACGGCTGGCTATGCTGGACGCCTCGCTCGGCCCGTGAGCCGGCCTGAAGCGGCCAGTCCGCCCATGCATAATGCACCGCACGCGGCCGGGCCGCCGCCACAGATGGCACCGCGTCGGGGCGCCGATGTGGCGTAACAGCGACGGCGCGCCGCCGGCAACGGCATACTCAGCGCTTGCCGGTGTTCCCACACAACGCCGGAGCGCGTGACGCCCAGCTTCAGCCGACTTTCGTTGGACGGACGCCTTAATTACAGCCGGCCTGGACTGAGGCGGGGTCAAGTTGGAGCGCAGGGTCACGCCAGGTCGAGCCCGGCGTCCGTGGCACGCCCGGGCGGCAGGTGGGATCGGACGAGCGAGCTGACACCTCGCGGAGCTCCGCTGAGAGCTTAGC